GACAAGGGTGACGAGTCCGTAACACATGGTCACCAACACCAGCCTAATTTACAACCAACAACCCAACTCAGTTGGTGTTCACCTTAGCCTTATCATCATCCGTCTCATCATTTCATAATAAGAGGAAAATAATTAAGTACTCATCAGTACTCCCAAAATAATTTATATATATGTTTAACCTTCGCATGAAACAATCAAGGGATCTCATGTCTATTATGTTACCCGGTAATTTGTTCCAAAAATCAACAACCCTGTTTAAAAACCAGTATTTACCCAGGTCTTCACAAAGTATTTATAAGGTCTTTACCCCTGTATTTACCCAGTATTTACCCAGGTCTTCACCCAGTATTTGCCCTCTAACTCTTCTGTCTCCCAGTGACGTGAGGTTTAATTCCCGTAGTCACTCCTCTTAGCTCATACCTCTCAGCTCGGGTACTAGTCTGGTGGCAAACCTTTGAACCTTTTCCAGTTTAGTCTTATGCTTGACTAGATATGGACTCCATGCTGGGGCTGCATACTCCAGGATTGGTCTGACATATGTGGTATATAATGTTCTGAAAGATTCCTTATACAAGATTCCTCTCTGACTCTTGACGTATTTCATCTCCCAAATGATACCTTGTATCTGGCCTCCTGCTCTCTACACTTATCTTCATTACATTACATTTGCTTGGGTTAAACTCTAACAACCATTTGTTCAACTATTCCTGAAGCTTGTCCAGGTCTTCTTGAAGCCTCAAGCTGTCCTCCTCTGTCTTAATCCTTCTCATAATTTTGGCGTCGTCAGCAAACAATGAGAGGAATGAGTCTATACCCTCTGGGAGATCATTTACGTATATCAGAAACAGGATAGGTCCAAGTACAGAGCCCTGTGGGACTCCACTGGTGACTTCACGCCAGTCTGAGGTCTCACCCCTCACTGTAACTCTCTGCTTCCTATTGCTTAGATACTCCCTTATCCACTGGAGCACCTTACCAGCTACACCTGCCTGTCTCTCCAGCTTATGTACCAGCCTCTTATGCGGTATTGTGTCAAAGGCTTTCCGACAATCCAAGAAAATGCAGTCCGCCCAGCCCACTCTTTCTTGCTTAATCTGTGTCACCTGATCGTAGAATTCTATCAAGCCTGTAAGACAATATCTACCCTGTGTGTGTGTGTGTGTGTGTGTGTGTGTGTGTGTGTGTGTGTGTGTGTGTGTGTGTGTGTGTGTGTGTGTGTGTGTGTGTGTGTGTGTGTGTGTGGTGTGTGTGTGTGTGTGTGTGTGTGTGTGTGTGTGTGTGTGTGTGTGTGTGTGTGTGTGTGTGTGTGTGTGTGGTGTGTGTGTGTGTGTGTGTGTGTGTGTGTGTGTGTGTGTGTGTGTGTGTGTGTGTGTGTGTGTGTGTGTGTGTACTGGACAAAAATCTTGCCCCTATTGATGAATTATTAACGTAATATGAATAACATTTCATCCGATTAAACAAACCATTTTTGCGTGAAATCATTAATTATGTAAATTAATACCAAAATCATGTAAAAAAAAATTATATTTCTAAATTCAAGCAAAATTTAGGGTCCAGTGGTGAAAGTGAGAGACTTTATCCTCACACTGAGAGAAAGTGATGGACTTTATCCTCACACTGAGAGAAAGTGAGGGACTTTATCCTCACACTGAGAGAAAGTGAGAGACTTTATCCTCACACTGAGAGAAAGTGATGGACTTTATCCTCACACTGAGAGAAAGTGAGGGACTTTATCCTCACACTGAGAGAAAGTGAGGGACTTTATCCTCACACTGAGAGAAAGTGAGGGTGTTGAGCCTCACCTGGTGAGAGAGAGAGAGAGAGAGAGAGAGACAGACAACAATTATGAAGGCTCAGTCATGATGGACAACGTCTCACAGTTGTCAAGGGTTGTCAGTTCTCGTTATCCAGTAATTCTTGCAGGATATCCCACCACTAATGACTTTTGGATGGCGCCATCTGCTTATTTTCGCGTGTGTGCGTGTGTTCACCTATTTGTATTCACCTTTTTGTGCTTGCGGGGGTTCAGCTCTGGCTCTTTGGTCCCGCCTCCCAACTGTCGATCAATCAACTGTTACTAACTACTAACTAGCTATTTTTTTCTACACACACACACCCAGGAAGCAGCCCATAGCAGCTGTCTAACTCCCTGGTACCTATTTACTGCTAGGTAACAGTGTCATCAGGATTAAGGAAACTCTGCTCATCTGTCTCCGCCGAGTACGGGGATCGAACCCCGGTCCCTTGAACGACGAGTCTAGAGCGCTGTCCACTCAGCCACCCAGCCCCCAGTGTGTGTGTGTGAGAGTGTGAGTGTGTGTGAGTGTGTGTGTGAGTGTGAGTGTGAGTGTGTGTGTGAGTGTGTGTGTGAGTGTGTGTGTGTGTGGTGTGTGTGTGTGTGTGTATGTATGGGAGAGTGTGTGTGTGTGGGAGAGTGTGTGTGTGTGGGAGAGTGTGTGTGTGTGGGAGAGTGTGTGTGTACTCACCTAGTTGTACTCAC